AGGTCATCCACATGGCTCACATGCACATAAACACGGAGGTGCTATTTCAGGGTTCGGCAGAAGAGATGATGAAAGGCAGGGTCCTGGAATGGAACCATGAGGCACACCTTTGTGGCCGGGGCCTTGTAAGGTTTGTGTGTTCCGGGAGAAGGTGAAAGCTGCATAAGAGAGAGAGAACAAGATATTCAACTAGAAAATCAGCAATGACCTGCTTCCGTTCAAGAGAACTCTTAAGTAAAACATTACTTCACCAGGTTCAGCAGACTGAAAGAGTTTATCAGGAAGGTTTTTATCTCTTTGACTGAAGAAACTCAAAAAAAGTTTATGGTGAAGCTACCTTGAGTTGGATATTGGGCTCAATGGTTCTGGGAATTGGCAGATGACCAGAAAATATTAATAAAATGAAGTTCATAACTGTCACGATATCCAGCTGTACATACTGTGACAGCCAGTTTGCGTTGGATGAAGCAGCTAGGTATCTCAACATAGATAATGTGTTAGCAGAGTAATATAATTATAATTTATTCGGGCCATCAAACACTCCAACTCTGTACTGGGTAAGTGGTTGCAGGATGGATGGATGGATGGATGGATGGATGGATGGATGAATAGTCCATAATTTACTTACAACACTTTTTGTCTTTCATGATGTGGCAGTCTGTCACATGTCACCACCCGATAAGGTATCTGAGAAGTGACAATTTAAGTGCTTGCAGGCAGAGTAGAGGCAAGTAGTTAAGACATCAAAAGCTTTGGGTTTCTATCGAAAACGGATAAATCGATCAATTATGATGGCATGCTTGTGGTCATCTATGCTTACAATCTGTCAACATTGCAGTGTCACTCGGTTTACTGCGAGCGAGGTTACGTTTTATATTCGTTACTCTCAGATAAATACGTTGTCATCTTCTGCTGTCAGTGTGGTAGGGACTGCACTGGGAATAGCCAGAGATGGGCAGGAGATGTTGATGTCTGAAGAACATGGCTCAAGGAAACGCATGACTCATGCATCCGCAGTGGGACGGACACCGATTACATCAGCTACCAAACGAACAGTCACATCTGTGTTACCTTTTCATCTTTAAATTCGACAATCAGTCGTTGTTTTCAGTCCTCAAGACAATCTGTACTGTTACAAGACACCAGCAGGGACATGGTGTCGTTCTCGTACCTCATTATGTTTTAAACCACTTTGCAACAGCAGTTTAATATAAATGTGACCAATTCACTGAGTGTGATACTTACATTCATCTGTTTAGCTACTGCGAGTTACTATTACATTACCCACTACACAGTATGATATCACTAAAGAAACTCGGGGTAATCACATCGCTCTGTGGTGCTATAGCAAGGCTCCTCTTGTGACTTGGGATTTGAGTGAACGACCTTGGGGTTCTTAATCTCAACCAACGAACCCGGCTGCATTTGTTGATGCTTTCGTTCGAGCTTCAAACCCGCCCCGGCCTTCGGGAAGTTGCTTCAGTGTTTGCATCTTTCAGAGATTCCTCTCAAATCCGTGAAGAATCTCAAATGTCGACATGAGACGGGCAACATAGCAGACGGGATCTATTTTAGTGAATGACGGCCTGAGAGACACAGAGTGTAACAATAACTAATAATGCCAGTGACACCGATGCCGGATATGTTCCGAGTGCCTAGTGAATTGTTTATCAATGAATTTCTGTAGTCAAACTCCAGTTTATGTCCAGGAAGGAGATGATTAACCACCATTCACCTACTTTGGTAGCCAGCCGCATGATTTGCTGCGCGACATCCTGATCAGCCAATGCCTGGCTGCCAAAGGGGTCAGGTGACGTGGTCACATGTGCTTCAGTGTGGGAAAGCCACACCGGCCTTTGTTGCCACAGGGCATCCCTGGCGTCCTTCCAAAATCCAACTTGCTCTTGTCGACACCGGCAGACTGTGTCCACCGCAACACATAAACAACAGCTACAGGAATGCTTGTTAGCTGTATATGTGCTCGTCAGAAGTCTGCAAAGTGACACATAAGCAGAAAAACAATGTCAGGTTAATGAATCTCAAAAGTCCCTCGATGAGGCTTCCTCACTCTTCCTGGTGGTAAAAGGCCCCCGCAGACGGCACACTGCAAAAGCCAGAGTTTTTATAGCATCGTTAAAAAGTCACAGGTCTGTCACTCCTGCGTAGCGTCCTTCCTGGCGAGGACGTTAAAAGCATTCTCCTTTTTATTGGGGACTGTTACTTGGGTAAAAGCTCCATGCCGCGTTTAGAGCCGGGGACGAGCCAGTCCAGCACCAAAATAGCGCCCTCTTAGATTACGGAGGTTGGTTTATTATTGCCGATGGTGACATTGTGTTTTCACAGGAAGGCGCTGGGACCGTTCTGCGGTTGTGCTGCATATTACTGCTTAAGCAAACATTTTCCTTGACTTTTCGTGCTGAGGATTATTCGACTTGGGGAGATGATGTGTGAAACCTGGACTGCATAATGATTTAAAATCTCCGGGATATAGCACAGTCTAAATAAGGTGAGTTTTATCAGAAATGGAGGAGAGCAGAGCGTGAATTTAAACTCAGTGCTCCTTTACCTCCCTGCCAGGGGGAGGCGCCACCAGCCAACCAAGGAGAGCAAGTCAGCTGACTGCACATGTTTGCGTTAGGACCAGTCGGGGAAAATCCTCATTTTCTCTGCTTACTTATGGTGCACACTCCTTCGTTCTCCCTCAGTAATTCCCGTCATGTTTGACGTTTGTGACAGCCTCAGTCAACCCATGCCGACGGCTCCGCATTATTTTGTTTTTTCTATCCGTGCCAAAACAGCATCTTTTGTTTGCCTTCAGAGATTTACTTTAACTCTCTTTTTTTTTGCCCCCTCCCCCATGTCTTCCTCCTTCTCCCTGAATGTGGAGAAATGTGACAAATACAGCCTGGATTATTTTCTCCCACATCACCTGGCTTGAGCCCTCTCACACAGCCAGCGTGTACATCATTTTGATTAGCGCATTAAAATGGTCAGTCAAGCTCACATTTAATCACTATGACATGACGTAAATTTTACTATCCGTCTTGTCTGTGGAACATGAGCCAGATATGACAGATCATTATGTTTTTTTTTTTTTTTTTTTTAACTAATGGTGTCTAATTACCCATATTTCTGAGCACTCAAATATCTCTGTTCTATTATCATTTAAGAATGACCTTAATCACGAGGAGGTGTATAGGCTCGAAGGACAGCCTGCTTCTGTCAGTACATATCATATTTCCTATTAGGATATCATTATTACACTGTAGCAGACGTTGGCTTTATGGGTGATAAAAAATCCATCCGTTACATATGTTTGTGTTGTCTAGTTTGTTGCTTACGGTTACAGGATCTTTCAGGCAGCTTATCAAAGGCCTATTACATCAATAAAAGCAATTGTGAGAACTTGATGAGAGATGGGATCCAGTGGCTAAATCACTCAGTAGATGTAAGTGTGTTTGGGCGTCTTTTGGGTAGTCGGTGATGAAATTATCAAAGACAGTATGGATATCCAGGGGGGAGTGAAGGGTCGTTTGCACCGTGGGGGTCTTGGTGGGTCACTTTTCTCTGGAGTAACCAGGGAGAAAGTCCTGCCTAATGACCCCCCCCCCCCCAAACCAACTTCTGTGTTTTTCACTGACACGCCGTACGAATGGCAGCATTAATAATTGAGCCCCGTCCTCCCCGCTGCGATAACCTTTCCATGAAAGGGGAGTGAACTCCTACGGGTCCGTTTGACCCCCCGGCTCTGCGGGCTCGTAATAAATCTAGCTTTGCGGACGGAGGAGCGCGGAACCTGCCGGCACCATTTAGCCTTAACTATTTACAGCCTCATTTCGTTTCTCTCCCTTGCAATCCGAAAGGTTAGTTTGCGGCAGAAATGCCACGAATGCCAACATGGAATATGAAAAGGTCCTGGAGTTGAGCTGGCCTCTGAACGCATGGCCAGAGAGACACTGGACCCCAGGCCGTATCAGAGCTGCAGGCTACCCGCTGATGGTAAAAAAGCAGCCAGGCATCACTGGACTAAAGGCTCGTCCCTGACGGGGGTGGGGGGGCGGTGGCAGTCAGCTGACATGTTGGAAGTGAAAGGCGGCTCTCGGAGCCAGCATATTTATAAGCAGGTGGGCCCGGGTAGTGATTTCGCTCTCCAGTGTTCTCCCTGCTGTCGGGCTCCAGTCGGCGCGTCTCCCGCCCCCCCCCCATTTAGTCTGGCCCCCGCTGCCTTTTGCAACACGCAGGGAACAGTGGGCTCCACCAGGCCGGGCCAGGTGCCGTGTCGTGTTTACGTTCTTAGCTATACGCACATCTCCCCAGACACGGGCTCCGTGACGTGGCCGTTTCCCATTCCTCCGGGGCCGCGTTGCCGTGGCAACGGCGCTTTATCGCATGTCATGCATTTGTGGCGCCTAAGAGCCCATGGCAGGCTGAACACGCCAGGTTTCTGTGGCTAGAGTTTTACCAATTACTTTAAAAATCGTAACAGGGGATATCGCTTGTTATAGGCCACTGTCTGTTCTCTTCCTTTTAAAGCCGCCCTTTAAAAAGGTTTTTATGGGTAATATGGATGGCACTAAGAAGCTTACAATTACGGTTTTTGTTGCTAATTTTTTTGATTTCCTGACTGAATGACCAGCCCCTTTCTCATGTAGGCTGCTTGACTGATCGGAAATGGTGTTATTCTGAAGAATAAATGAAAATTAAGTCCATATATAGAAAACCATAATCCTCTGAGATGTTTGAGTCACTAAGGTACAGTGTGATTCTTTGCTCGGCATGATGGGAAATCCCCCTTTGACGTGGGAGCAGATTTCCTGGGTTAGTGGTCTCCTCAAACCCTGTTTTTTTTTCCTTCTCTCTGTCCTCTAACTCATCCAAATCTCTCCATTTGAAGGTGGTTAACAGAGGCCACGTGGGGAAGACCAGTCTCATTTTGTGAGGGGGGGGGGTAGTATTGGGACCCTCACTGTTGTGTTTACATCCTCTCCCTACACTCCTAGGTCTGGCTCCTCGAAGACTCATCATCTTAACCTTGACTGCAGGCTCCACCCGCAAAGTGACGCTCAGCCAAGATGTTCAGCACCAAAAGGTCAGTGTGTCATCGTCATTTGTCTATTTGCATTAAGATTAGCTACAAATCTCCAGTCAGTCGAGATGCGGAACAGCTTTGCAACGCCAATGTTACTTCTCCACGTTCTAAGGACTCTTTAAATTGTGGGAAACGAGTGTTCTATGGGTTTTAATGATTTCTGTGCGGTCAAAGGTCACATGTTCCCATATGTTTCTGTACACTCGAGAAACTCCCAGTGACGCCGAGGGAATAGAACAGAAATCCTTCTGGCCGTTATAGGAGACCAACTGCTAAGCTTTAAACCAGCTGCTGTGCACCAGTAGGTGGTGCCTTCACAATTACAAATCATCGATCAGCTTCATCCGGCAGTCAGCGACGAGCCAACACCAGGAGCATTATGGGTAATGAATTGTGTTTTGGAGTGATTCTCCTGAGGAGAGCTTTGTTTTGTGGCAGTTTGATGTTATTGCCGGCACAAAAGACATTAAAAGCTAGGGACAGGATGAATTGGCGTCAGATTTGCTGAGATGGTACTGAAAAGGCACGATGGTGATTTCAATAATAATACCCTTCATAAGCTGTATGCTTTGTGTCCTACATAATGAGTGGCCCGAGATCTACATTTGCACGCCTTACATCTCCAGTATGAGCCTCCGTGCCGTGCGGAGGGCTGCACATTCTTCCCTATGGGTGTTTCTTTTTGAAATAGCAGCATTTTTACTTTCTGAACTAAACATGCATCGCAGCATTTAAAAGCTTCTGCTCCTTGTATTTCAGCAATTTCAGGTCCAGGCAGCTGAGAAAGCTATTTTAACATCATTTTGTCATATAATATGATGCTCAGTTAATCATTATTGTGTACGATGCTGGATAAAATGTGTAATATTTGTGCTAAAAATTTACATTTTTTAAAAAATGACCAAGCTGAGTTTACTAAGAAGGAGATTATTGGGTTATTTTGAAGGCGACTGGATGAAGGTTATAAGGTCATGTAAAGGACTGTATGCACATTGGGTCTGATATGACCGCATATCATCATCACCCCACGCGGAATAAAGAGCGTGTATAAGAGCACGTATAAGAGCGTACATAAGAGCGTGCATAAGAGCGTGCATAAGAGCGTGCATAAGAGCGTACATAAGAGCGTGCATAAGAGCGTGCATAAGAGCGTACATAAGAGCGTACATAAGAGCGTACATAAGAGCGTGTATAAGAGCGTACATAAGAGCACGTATAAGAGCGCGTATAAGAGCGCGTATAAGAGCGCGTATAAGAGCGCGTATAAGAGCGCGTATAAGAGCGTACATAAGAGCGTACATAAGAGCGTACATAAGAGCGTGTATAAGAGCGTACATAAGAGCGTGTATAAGAGCGTACATAAGCGCGTACATAAGAG